TGAGCAGGACCTGTTTTTATCTTTAAATCATGTGTCTTTTATACCCAGTGTCCCGTGTGCCTCCTCCCTCATTTGACAGGTGTCCTGAAGAGGGAGTGTTCACAGCAAGACCTGATTTTCAGGATATCAGATGCCTTTAATTACGCTGGAGTTGCGGGTGTATGTTATTTGCTGTATTTCATTTGTGCGGTTTGTGTGGGTTATCCGGTGTACAGTGGGATTGATGAATTCTCCTGCTAGCAGTTTGACTCCAGTTTTGTACACAAACCTGCTAAAAGCGTTTGCACAATATTTTCCTTCCTCACAAATGTGCTGGCACGATTCGCTGCCTCCCAAACGAGCACCAAACAAGACATTTCATTCGTGGCCAAAGGAAAGGCTGGAAGAGATTATGTCATACAGGAAGAGTTCTCAGAAAACGTTACCTTAAAAAGAGTTTCTGCTGCACATCTCAACAATGCAGGCAAGAAGTTTAACGCCGCCCCAAACCCTGAGGGCTTGTTTCACACAACAGGAGAGTGCTGTACAGCCTCGGACTTTTGGACATGCACACCCGAGAGACTCTCTATACAGTATATTCCTATATTCTACTGTATATATTTCCCCCTTGAATTTCAGTAACAATATCCAGACTACCTTAAAATAAAACAAATTCACTAAAGAAGCAATGTTTTGCAATAAATTAGGAATTGATTTCCATTTATCTTGTCTTTAATATTGAGTTTATTGTCGGAAAATACATTTTTGACCCGTTAGATTAGAAAAGACTTCCCTGAAATGTTTAGATTTATATTCAATTGTTGTAATAAACAACATGAAGTGCATTAAACTTTGCATTATGTCAAGGTTTTTTGGGGTTGAATTGAATGAAAAGCCAATGATTGACAACATCATAGAAAATGTCAGATTAAAATAAATAATTAAAAAATATCCAAACAAAATAAAACATTTACTAAATGAAATATTTGTTTACCTGCATGTCATGTGACCATTCACCAACATCAGAGAACCACGAGCAGGCAAATGTGATACTTAATTATTGAAATTATTAAAATCTCATTAAGGTGCTACAGGGTACTTGGGAGTGCCTGCAATACATGTAAATATGAAAGAACAATTTTTGCATTTTAATGTGTTTGAAACACCCAAAAAAAAAAAAAAAAAAAACGTCAAAAGTCATAGTAACGCATAGTTAAATGTGTTAATGTGTTTGAAAGACAAAAGCCTTCCAAAGACACAGTAATACATGGTTAAATAACCCACTGAGTGATAATTAAAATAAAAATTAATGTGTTCATCAGTAGTTGATGCAATGTTGAAACACTTCTTAAAACTGAGATGATTTTAGTAAATCCAGTGGTCAAATGCTGTGAATGAGACTGGTGCCAGCTTCAAAATCATATATTTGATGATTTCCTTCTGTATGGATATATAAATAATAATAATAATAAACAATAATTAAATAAAACAATATTAATAACGCATGCATGGACTCTTGGGGCTTCCATAGAAAGCATCTTTATTGATGCTACATCTGTATTTTGGTGTGTAAACATTACACAACAGTGGTTATTTGCGTGGTGTGAGGAGAGCTGCACACATTTAGCCCAGCCAGCGTCCCTGTGAGGAACCATGTGTGCCTTCAGCTCGGGCTGCTCACTACCGAGAGCACTCAAGGTTGTCCTTATATGGAGTTAAAGACAACGTCTGGCCTGATTGGCTCTTTGACATCTAAACCAGAACATGTGGATTTGCAGCGGCGAATCACCTGAGAGCACCTGTTAAGACATGTAAATCAAAGAGGACAGAAAGCATTGTTCTAGTTGTGTAATCCCAGTCATTTACCTACACTGACCAGCTCTGATAGACAAGACAAAAACAAGGAAAGATTGGGGATGCCTATGAATGTAAGCAAAAGTACAATAAAAACATTTCATGATTACTAAATAAAACATAAGTTTAGCCCATATTCATGACATGGGTGCAACAGCTGTTGCTGTTTTAGCAACTTTCAGACTTATTGAGTTTGGTATCCTATTTACATCTGTTTTTTTTTCCTTTTCTTTTCTTTATTATGTTAAACCTAAGGTAGCTTGGTTGAATTTACATCAAGAATTATGGTTGGTGAAAGTAGAAAAAAATCAGAAAGGCCTGTTTGCTATTCCATGACTCATCGTTTCTTAAAGGGATAGTTCACCCAAAAATGAAAATTCTGTCATCATTTACTCACTCTCATGTCGTTCCAAACCTGCATGAGTTGCTTTCAAAAGAAGATATTTTGAAGATTGCTGGTAATCAAACAGTTGGTGGTTGCCATTGACTTCCATAGTAGGAAAGAAAATACTATGGAAGTCAATGGCAACCACCAACTGTTTGATTACCAGCAATCTTCAAAATATCTTCTTTTGTGTTCAACATAAGAAAGCAACTCATACAGGTTTGGAACGACATGAGGGTGAGTAAATGATGACAGAATTTTGATTTTTGGGTGAACTATCCCTTTAAGTGTTATTCAATATGGTGCTGTTCAGAGAGACAGCGCTGCTCCCTACTGGACAGACAATCAAAATGCATAAAAACATTTACACTGAATGCATTTTTGCAAATCCAGACTTGCACAAATGTTGTAGAATCACATGCGACGATCAGCAGATGTGCTAGAAATTGAGTGCTACTACGATGTAAACACTACATAATATACTACAGAAGAGCATGCACACAAATAGTAATATGAAGTGCTCCATGTTTAATTATGTTTTTTAAACACCCACCCCTCTTATCTGTTATTGGTCAGTCAAACGTGTATCCCCACCCCAAACTCACACAATTGGTTGGATTGGCTCAAGCCAGACATGTCCACAAGTCTTTCATCTGAAGTCTGAAGTCAAGTCTAGTCTTTAAACTGGAGTCCGAGTCTGGAGTCATTTCACTAATTGTTGCAAATAAATTCTCATCCATAAATATCCTATTTACGAGGTTGTATTTTAAAGTCAAAATATGTTCAGTCAATCCAAGACACAAAAATACATAAATACATGTAAAATTATTAATTTGAAGAGGCACGTTCATATTCAAAATCATCTGCAAACCCATGATGTAGCCACTAGATGCTAATTAATCTAATTCTAGATCTAATTAATCACATTAATAACACATCAATTTTAGCTGAGAAAATACCCCCAAAAGATCATTTAAAAACATTGTGTTAGAGGAGTAAAGCATTGAATAGACATTACAAAAAGTAGCTTTAGAAAGAAATATTTTGATTCAACATAGCATAAATAATGATGATAGGTATCAATGGGTTTTAAAAAATTAATACTGAAATGTGAAATTATTTTTTTTAAGTGAAATGACACTCAAAATATGAAACTATAACCTTCAGTAGGTGGCGGCAAGTCACCGTCTTAATGAATGAGTGAGTCATTCATTCAACCGACTCCTTCAAATGGATGATTAATTCGGAAATGAAGCAAGTGACTGAATCGCTCACTGAGTCATTGACTCGATTCGTTCAAAAACGTGACAGATTCATTCAGGAGCGAAACGCTGCTGTGCTGCTATAGACCCACAACAGTTCTGCAGTGGCTTTGTTTGAACTATTGTCATTTTGCGGAACTGAGCAAAACAGACAATACAATATTGTGTATAACATTTCACATAATATTAACTTAGTGTTAATAGAACTATTGTATAAAATCAGTATCACATTTGCAATCGTGCAGATATTCGGGAAAAAAAAACAGCACTCTTGCTTGTGTGATATTGCTAAACTATATAATAAATAAACCTATACATGTTTTTTTTTCCCCCCCATAATTAATCACACCAATTAAAACGTAAAATAGACTAGGGTGACTATACATCTTTTCCCCGGACATGTCCTCTTTTTAGACTTAAAAAAATGCTTCCGCCGGGATTTCTAAATCGCCCAAAATATCCAGGATTCGACTTTTGCTTTCGCCATTCATTGTGTGCATTTTTGTATTAAAGCCCTGCGCATGACTGTTTTCTTATCCCGCTCACAATTTCTGACCATTTCTGCCTGCTTGCGCAAACTAATATTGCATATACTTCTCGCGCATCAGGGAGCAGCTATCAGCATGTGGAGTATTTAAATCACTTTGGATGCAGCTTGTGTAGGATGCAGGGTTGCCAAATCTGCATTTTTTCCACGAAATTGGACTGATTTTGAACTATTGCGGCAGGTTGATTTTCTCCAGTGGGTTAAAGGTTTGAAATATGGCATAAATTACATTTGACTGAAATGCTTGTATTGAAACATTTTGCATTCTACCTATGATACAACTGTGGTAGATGTTAAGTTTTGTGAAGAATGGCCAGTGGTAGGAAGCCTTTTAGTTGCGTTTATGATCAATCTGCAAAATGGTGACTGTAAAATATGTATTTTAGGTATGGAAATGACATATTTTGAGTTTTGATATGGGATATGGTCATTGCACTACTTTGGGGGCTACTTTAACCCCGGCTCAAACCCAAATCCAACCGAAAAGAAATACAATGCAGCAAGCAATCAAGGCACTTTTAATGGCGGAAATCATCACCTGAGGCAGGACAACAGCAAACACCCCACATTTAGGACACTTCCATTCACCCTGAGCTTTCCTTCCATCTCCTGCTGAACCTCATACTCCTGCCTCAGAAGCTACACCGACTTTGATTTGACTCTGGACACTTGATGTGCACATTTATGAGGTAGAATTGAAAACACCTTGCTTGCTTTTGCGCGTCTTCCAAATCTATGCATTTAAACCGAACCAAATTCAATATAAAACTCTACATCTGATGAGCTACAAAACAATTCGCAAGTGATGCCATAAAGTGTATCCGCTTCCGTTTATCCTCTGTCTTCACACGTAGCCCACACCTTTCCTTACACTAGACCACTCAGGGAGAGAAATCGAATTAACTTAAACTTTCATTAAAACCTTTAAAATGTAATCTGTAATATATAAAAGAAAAAAGCAAAAAGGCACATACAGGCTCAAGCAGAACTTTACCAAATCAATCTCTCATTTTAAACATTAAGGCACTTTGCGCATTAATATTTGCCACGGTTCCTCCGAGGGTCTTCGTTTAACCAAACAGGAAGCTGCACAAAAAGAAAAGGCAATGTCAGTAAATAAATTAAAAAATAGTCATAATTTGTATGAATAAATCCTTAAATTAACATTCATAAATGTGCAAACACACGTTTGTTTCTGTGAATTGTGGGGACTTTCCATAGACTTCTATTACTTTTTTTGTATTTGAATTTCTAACTTCGATATGATCATTTGAAAAATACTGTAGATGGTTTAAACCAACAGTAATTTACCAAGTTTGTTCCATGAATCATGAGAACTGAAAAAATTGAGCTGATTAACACTAGAAAAGTTGGCAAGAGCTAAAAAACATTATTTAATTTAATCTGAATGGAGTAAGACTCTAAGATGTTGTCCACACAGGGCTTCACAACACACACACACACACACACACACACGTATGTTTCTGTGAATTGTGGGGACTTTCCATAGCCTTCTATTACTTTTATACTGACCAAAATATATTTTCTATCCCCTAACCCTAAACCTACCCCTTACAGAAAACCTGTTTGCATTCTTACACTTTAAGATAAACATCATTTACTATTTTTTTAAATAATTTTTTCCCCTCGTGGGGGACCTCAGGCCAGTCCCCACAATGTAGCATAAACAAGTACACACACATATACACACACACACACACACGCAGACAGAGACACACACACACACACACACAGAGTCTCACACACA